ATTTTTATCCAAGGGTTCAGGCTAGTTATTTGTGAAGAAGCCAGCATACCAAGTCGGTTTCTCATGGGTTCCCTAGAGGATTGTGGTCATGTGTATGGGATCTCATATTGAATGGATGAACTTTTGAATGAGTGGATATTGCTTTGTTATATTATATTACATTATATCATAATTGTTATATTATATTATAATTAGTATTATTTTGCAGGTATATGGGATATCATCACATTTCTGGTGAAAACTATTGATTGCATCGTTAAATGGAAATGGGGAAGCATCTCTAACCATACCTACAAATGCAGTAAGAATAACATAAATATATATGAATACATATGCTTTTAAATTTATTTCTCTACAGTTGTGACAGGCTTACATGATGAGAAAAAATAAATAAATAAATCCTTAAGTTAAATTTGACTCCTGTTAACTTCACCCATATAGTTTTCTTGGCAGAGTTATTTAAATAATTTGCCATTTGGTTATTCCAGGAAGACTTTTGACCTTCCAATCTATCTGATAACCTTAATAATTTCCATGCGATCCCCCATTCAAATACTAACCAGGCCTAACTCTGATTAGCTTCCAAGATCAGGCCAGAATGTGTTAGGTCCTGTGAACTGTTGAGGTATTTGTGAGGTGGTTATACAGGTTTATCTTTCTCAGCAAACAAAGCAAAATTAAGGGTTATCCAGTTTAACAGCTGGCAACATAATGTTTGAAGAACATAATGTTTAAAATGCCAGCTAATAGTTCCCTGACACCTAAAATATAGGCTGTTTAAAAAGAAGTGGTTAGAAGTAATTTTAACAAAATTGCTACTGGATAACTCTGTTCTACCGCCATAATCAAAGATGGTGTACTTTAAAAGTCAGTTTCTAAGCAGTACCAATGAGACAAAGATATTACCTTCATGCTGCATTTACGAACTTTCTCGTCATAGAATTGGATTAAGTGGGTGTTTGGAATTATTTAGCAGAGCCTTTTTATGTTCTTAAAATCCGAATAAGTTTCTTGCAGACATTTGATAGGATCTGGTACAATATATTTTGAAGTGATTGTCAATATAAGGGCAACACTAGAATAATATTAGAACAACTTCTCAATACTTTTGAATCATTTTGTTTTGTGCCCAATAGAGGAAAGGATAATGCTTATCAGAACTAAGAATTCAGAAAGATGTGAGTATGGGAGATTTTCCCAGAGAAAGGCTTTAGTTCCAGTATCAGTCTGTATCACATAACTGAATCATTCAAAGTGATTCCTACAGAAAAATAATCCAGAAAATATTTCATTTTTCCCCCCTTAGTTGACTTGAAGAACAAAGACTTGACTGATAAGACAGAACTTCACTTGATTGATGCTGGGATAGCCATAAATTCTGCTTACCCACTTGTCTTACGTCCAGAAAGAAAAGTGAAACTCATTCTGTCTTTTGACTTTAGTGAAGGAGATCCTTTTGAGGTAGGTTTTTCGTGTTGGTACCTTTTTCCTTCTTTTTATAATATGTATATTTACTTTGAGATACTAACGATATTGTTCAGGCTGAAACCTAATGATGCGCTTCAGGAGCTAGTCATGGTCGACTCAAAAAAGAAAAAAAAAAGAGGTTGCATTGCATTGCATTAGCATTCAAATTGCTAATCATTACCTATGAAGCAATAGATGGTGTAGCACTGGAATATATCAGTCTCTTGAATATGATGTCCTCAGAAGTGTATTTGGCTCCACATCTCATGTCAGCAAGGCCCTGAAGACATTTATTCCAGTAAGACTTTGACTCATAGTGTGGTTTGGGACATCCATTAGATTACTGATTTATTTTATTATTTTTAATGAGTTTTTAATTTATTCATATATGTTTGATTATTATTTTTTTGCTTTGTTTTTGCTATGTATCACCAAGAATTCTAGGTTTGGGG